AAAGACTCCCCCTTAAAATTTAGTGGTTTAGTGGTCACAAACTCCTTCAGTTTTTGTCTGAGAAACTCTTTATCCTTCTATTTTGAATGATGGCCTTTCTGGATAAAGATTTCTTGGCTGCATAATTTTCTGATTCAGCATATTGAATATATCCTGCCACTCCTTCCTGGCCTGCCAAGTTTCTGTGGATAGGTCTGCTGTGAATCTAATCTGTCTTCCCTTATAGGCTAACGACTTTTTTCCCCTCTCTGCTTTCATAATTCTTTCCTTGTGTGTTTATCTTATGAATTTGACTAAGATATGCCTTAGTGATGATTGGTTTCTGTTGACTCTAATGGGAGTTTTTTGTGCTTCTTGGATTTTGATGTCTATGTCCTATCCCAGATTAGGCAAATTTTCCACTGTAATGTGCTCACATAACCCTCTGTCCCTTTTCTCTCTCTTCACCTTCTGGGACTCCTATGATTTAGATGTTATTCCTTTTTAATAAGTCACTAAATTCTCGAAGTCCTGCATCGTTCTCTCTTGCCTTTGTTCCCCTCTATTTTTCTGCTTCATTATTCTCCATAATTCTGTCTTCTGTATCACTGATTTGCTGCTCTGCTTGTCCATCCTTGCCACTGTGGCATCCATTAGAGACTGCATCTTTGTTGTAGCATTTTTAATTTCATCCTGACTAGATTTTACTTATTTTTTTTCCCCTATAGATAGGATTCAATGCTTTTTAAACCCCAGCTAGCCTTCCTGTTATTGTGGTTCTAAATTCTAGTTCAGACATCTTGCTTATATCTGTATTGATTAAGCCCCGGGCTATCATTTTTTCCTGTTCTTTCTTTTGTGGTGAATTCCTTCATTTGGTCATTTTGGAGGAAGAAAAAATTAACGAAATAAAAAATAAAAATTAAAAAATTAAAAACAAAACAGAAAGTCAAATAAAGGAAGCTAAATCCTAGGTATGTTTGGTCTGCTTCTGGAAAGAAGCGTGATAGACTATAGAAAAAAAAGGAAAGAGAGAAAAAAAAGGTAAGATAAAATTTAGAAATTAAAAAAATGTAAATAGAAGAAAATGAAATAAAGTGAAATAGAAAATTTACAATAAAATAAAAAATTAAATTTTTTTAAGAAAAAATAAAATAAAAATAAAATTTTCTCTTACTGTATGCGAGAAAAGGAAAAGGAGGAAGAAAACAAAGAAAAAAACCAATTTAAACAAAGACAGAAGAAAACAAACAAGTATATGAACCAGCAAACAGAATGAAACCTGAATGAAGTTACATCCAGTTTCCTCTAGAACTATGAAACACTCTATAAAGCATTCAGAGACTTGTGCTGGTCTTCTAGGGGATGTGTTGGGAGGGCACAGCTGGGCGGGGCTTAGTGTAATGGCTCCATTCTCCACTAGGTGGCGCTGCTTAACTTAATGGGGTGGATCAGTGTGGCTAGTATGCACACATGCATGTATACAGGAATGGTGGAAATAGCTTCACCTAGCTTCCTAGTCTGGCACAGGAACTCTGCATTCTAACCAACCTATGATCAAGTACCCCTCCTTTGTCTTAGGTCTCTGTCTACTCTGTGCCTTTATCCTGTCTGTGTCCAAATTGTCAGCCTGCCAGGCAGCACCTCCCTCCATAGTTTTATCGCAGACATGGCTGTGTTTTAAAATCCCTCACTTCAGAGAACCCTGGGGCTTGGACCTGCTTCAACTCTCTCAGGCAGGGTCTCACTGATCAATGGCTGGGCACCAGCTTGCCTGAGAAAACGATTGTGTTATTGTGCAGCAGGAGAGGTTCTGAGATTGTGGCAATTCAAACACACAGCTGGTACCAGGTTTCACTGCACTCTGGTGTCTGTCTCAATACCAGCAAAGGTGGCTGCTCTCCGGGGTCCACTGGGACCTTTGCCTGTGGGGAGGCTGTATGGACCCTACCTAATGCTCTCCAAGCAGGGAACCACTTTGCTCCGTGTAGCACATGGACCCCTCAGACCCCACTGCCTTCTTCTGGGGATTTGCCCCTTTTCCTCACCAGACCACCACCCAGCACTGGGCTCTGGAATTTCAGACTTTGTGCTCTAATGTTTATAGAATCCTAATGGTATTGAAACCCTCTCCTTTCTCCCCATAAGTCATTTTGGGGAACAGATTTCTTATTCAGCCCCTTGTGAGAGTTTTCACTCTTTGTCTTTCTCTCCAGCTACTTTCAGGGGGAGTACTTTTCCTGCGCTCTCCCTAGGCGCCACACTCTCCCCTGCCTTTCCCTGTCCTCTGCAAAAACAGCTTCCTACCCTTCGTGGCTGTTCTTTCCCTCAGTCTACCCCTCCACACCACATACCTGTCGAGTTCTGTGGCTCCAGTTATGCAGATTGTTGTGTTAAACCTTAGTTTCCTAGATGTGCAAAATGGCTTGGTGGTGATGTATTTGCGTTTCACCCTCGAGACAAGATGAGAGCTTCCATGCTACTCTGCCATCTTGAACTCCTTCTGCTTCCACATTTCTTAATTACAAGGCAGCCATTACTCTTATCACTGTTCCCATGTTCATGCCATTTTTCTGTTGCTGCTTTCAAGTTTTAGCTTTATAACTGGTTGTCAGCGTTGTCATGATGTGTCTAGAAGTAATTTTCTTTGTGCTTATCTTACGTGTTTACCACCAAATTTTGGAAGTTTTCAGCTATTATTTCTTTAGATATCTTTTCTGTTTCCCTCCCTTCCACAATTCCAATTACACTCTTGTTGGCTTGCTTCATATTTTCACATAGATCTCTGAGGACTTGTTCACTTTTCTTCCACGTTTTAAATTCTGTTTTTTGGACAGGAAAATTTATGTTGAGCTTTCTTCAAGTTCATTGCTTATTTCTTCTGCTTTTCCCAATCTATTCTTGAACCATCTAATAAAATTTTTATTTTGGTTGTTATACTTTTGATCTCCGGAATGTCTTTTTTTTTTTTTTTTTTTTTTTTTTTTTTTTTTTTTTTAAGCTTATTTATTTTGAGAGAGACAGAGACAGCATGAGTCAGGGAGAGGCAGAAGGAGAGGGAGACAGAGAATCCCAAGCAGGTGTAGAGCCTGATGCGGGGCTCGGACTCATGAAACCATGAGATCATGACCTGAGCCAAAACCAAGAATTGGACGCTTAACCAAGTGAGCCATCCTGGCACCCCTAAACTCCAAGATTTCTATTTTTAAAATTATTTTCTATTTCTCAGTAAAAAATCTCTTTCTGCTCCTTCACTGAAACCTTATTTCACTGTAATTTAATTCTTTGAACACATTTATAACAGATTATTTGAAGTCTTTGCCTGCTGAATCTAAGAGCTGGGCCTGCTAAGAGTGAGTTTCTATGGACTGTTTCCCCGACCCCAACTCTGTCAGTCACACTTTCCTGTCAAGGAAGTTTTGGTTGAAAACTGGATAATACAGATAATACATTGGATTCTATTTTGTTGAGCATTACTGGCTTTTTTGTGAGTAGGCAATTATCTTGCTTAGGTGCAAACTCTGAAATGTTTCCCCTACGGTAGGAGCAGCTGCCAACTCTGATCACTTATTTCTTTCCACTGTTTGTTTTTGAACTAGGCTTCCTAGAAATTCTCCTGTACCTGCCTAATATGAGGATCTGTCAAGTTTGGGCAGAGGAAGGACTCATTCTCTTCATGATTTTGTTGCTATTATAGATTCCTCTGTAATTTCTAGCTGCTCTGGGCTCTGTCCTTTGATACTTCAAACATTAAGTCTTCAGCTTTCTGTTGCCTGAATAACACACACATTTCAGGAAGGCACTCAATTACAGAAAGCAGCAAACTCAAATATCTAGCTCCATACAGCTCTATCTTTCAAGAGTAGATTGCTTTCAGGTCTACTGCCTACTTCTTCACTGGACTCCCTCTCCCACTCCACTATGCATAGTTTGGCTGTTAGACACGGATTTGGTCAGAGTTTGTACTCAGAATTTAGGTCTCTCTCTTTTTTGTGTTTCTTTTGCTGCTAATAATGTTTTCAAATTTTCAACTGCTTTTCCAGCCTTAAACATTGATTTTGGCCATTTTAAGTCCATATAAACCTGTTGTTTTCTCAAGTCACAACTATGGGGATTGGTGAAACTCTCAGGTCAGAAATTAAAAAACTTATAATTCACACCTCTTTCAGTGTCTTTCTGTTTTGGGACATGTTCCAGTGTTTGAAAGAATGTATCCAATTTTCATAACTGTTATCTATGGGAAGTTTTGCAAGTCTTTCATGAATCTACCATTACTAGAAATATGTAAGCAACTTTTACAGATTAAGAAATAAGGCTTAGAGAAGTTACACAGCTAGTAAGTACCAGAGCTAGACTTTTTAATAATTAGACCCATCTAAATCTAAAGCCTGACCATTCCTTGAGTCTCATGAAATGTCCTTATTACACATAAAAAAAACAATTTCTTATGCCAATAAGTATTTCTAAAAATAATACAAAATGTAGTATTAAATGCTTCTCTTCATTTACATATTCCCAATTAATCAAATTTGATCTTGCATTAATATGTCTTTTAGTAATGATGTGTTTATGAATGATTACTGTTTTATTAACTCAGGATAAAGTAAATGGAAAGAAGTTATCTCCAAAATTATACTTTAGCTTCCTAATTTCACATTTCATATTTAGGGCAACAGAATTTTTTTTAATGTTTATTTTTGAAAGAGAGAGAGAGAGAGAGAGAGAAAGAGCATGCAAGCAGGAGAGGGGTAGAGAGAGTGGGAGACACAGACCCGAAGCAGCTCCAGGCTCTAAGCTGTCAGCACAGAGTCCGATGCAGAGCTCAAACCCACAGACCGTGAGATCATTCCCTGAGCCAAAGTCAGACGCCCAACCGCCTGAGCCACTCAGGCACCCCTCAAAATGATTTTTAATTCATTTTCCAGCAATTGTCTTCAGTACCTAATCCAAAATAGTTTAATAACAAAATTCATAGAAAACTAAGCTATAGGCTACCAACTGCCCTAAAAAGAGGCAAATACCTTCTTTTGCATCTGTCCTTGAAGATCTTCAGTTACTTTGGTTAACTCATCCACTTTTGCTGCTGCACTTCTCAGATCTAACTTGGCTTGCCTAAAATAGAAATTAAATTAATAAACACTTTTCACAGACCATAAATAATTAAAAGTATTAGAAAAGAAATCCAAATATGATAAAATCAGTACTAACTCTTGTGCACCTAAAAATGGATCTAAGAGGTAGATACTAAAAGAGCCCTTTATTACTAATAAAATGCATGTGGAAGAGAGTGAAAAGGAAAAATATCACTAAAGGGCAAGGGTATAAAGTGAGAGTTATTACTACTTTATTTGGAAAAATTATATTTCATACTCAAATGATTCATATTTCATGAAAAAGTACTTTATCATCTTAATAAATTACCTAACAAGAATGACAGTATTAAGTAGAATATAGCTATGGTAATTTCTTGAATTTATAGAGTTGAAGAAGTATCACTGATTGGCTTTTCTATAAAAATGAACCAAAGCTTCAGTGCCTTAATCATTCCTTAAACACCAGACATATTATAGAGCCACCGAACATAATGAATTCAAATATTTGTCTTGAGATAGTATAATAGTTATTAATGTTTTCAGAAATTTAGTGGCAAAGGACAAAAATAACAAGTTTATTGAATGTTCTGTTACTATCAAGTTTCAGTATCTTGACTCCCCATAGAAAAAGATATTAGGATAGAGACACTTTCTGAAACAGATAAAAAATATTTTTAATATCCTACCAATTAAGCACTAAGTATGAATACAAAACACCTGGGTTATGTAAAAAAAATACATTTTTAGGAACAAAACTACTTTAGTATAGGAACTGACCATATTTATTTGTTAATTATAGTTTATATAGGTATTAAATATAAATCATATTAGTGCTGTTGAACCTAAAAAAACTATTTGATGGAAAATTCATAATAAATGTTAACTGATTTACTTTTGGCTAACAGTATTTATAATTACATTCTGATTGGCATAAAACAATAGGAAATAAAAATCTAATAATAGCTAAAATGTATCAGATAATCATTATATACCAGGAACTGTCCTAAATTCTTTGCAATCATCTCACTAATATAATTAACTCTCTCTGTGAATTAAGTACTATTGAGACTATTCTATCAAACTAAAGTCAAGAGAGTGAAGTTGACAGAGATTTATCAACTTGCCCAAGGATTCACAAATTAAACATGAAACTGGTATTTAACAGAAACTGTCTACAAAAAGTGGTCTCAAGAATATAAAATTAAGCATTTTAGGGAAATGTTTTTATTTTTAAATAAATCCAATTTATGGGGCGCCTGGGTGGCTCAGTCGGTTAAGTGTCCGACTTCGGCTCAGGTCATGATCTCATGGTTGGTGGGTTTGAGCCCCACATTGGGCTCTGTGCTGGCAGTTTGGAGCCTGGAGCCTGCCTCGGATTCTGTGTCTCCCTCCCCCGCTCATGCTCTGTCTCTCTCTCTCTCAAAAATTAACATTAAAAAATTTTTTTTAATAAAAAATAAATCCAATTTATAAAAATCTGAATTTATCAGACATGAAACAGACCTTTCTACTTGCAAAATGGATCACCAAACAACAAAGCTAAAACCAAGACCACCTTAAACCAACACATTTAAAATCTACTTTAAGTTTAGAGATAATTTCAGGACAGAAACTAATAAATGTATTAATAAATGAATCTACCAGTTATAACATGCTATATAATTTAATTTTTTTAAAATGTTTATTCATTTAAGAAAATTTTTTTATGTTTATTTTTGAGAGACATAGAGACAGAGCATGAGTGGGGGAGGGGCAGAGAGATGAGACAGAGAATCCGAAGCAGGCTCCAGGCTCTGATCTGTCAGCACAGAGCCTGAAGCGGGGCTTGAACCCATGAACCATGAGATCATGACCTGAGCCAAAGTAGGACGCTTAACTGATTGAGCCTCCCAGGCACTCCTACATTCTATATATTTTGAAAGGAAAAACTTAAGGAGTAAGATATTTAGGTAGCAATGATAAAACTGGATACATTCTAAACAAGCATAGCACCCACACTGATTTGGTTTTCTTACCTTCAGATAGAGGATAATAATGCTTATTCTATTTATTTCATAGGTTGCTGAACAAGACAAAATAGATAATGTACATTAAGTACACTATAAACTATAAACAAATGCAAGGTTATGGCATGATTAAGAAAAAAAAAAAAAAAAAAAAAAACTATTGGTTAGAGACACAATCAGAATAGGGTGCAATATGGAAAACCCTAGAATCACGAACCCAGTTCTGTCACTAACTAGTAATGTAGGCCTAATGCAATTCACTTGATAACAAGACTGTCTCAGCTATCTCACGTCCAACAGCAAGGAAGTGGTTGGCCAAATTCAAAGACCAAAACCCTAAATAGATGGTCTCCTGATTCTAATTTTCCTAATGATTCTAATTCTAAAATTATCTTTAAATTGTATTCCATTTCCATTTCATGGCCCAACCTTTGGCCCCATCATTACTTCCCACAACTATTCCACTACTTTCCAAAGTGAAGGCTTCACTGTGGGTCTCCTCCTTAATGCATCCTCTATAATGCATCTTCTCTGCAAATAAAAGGTATCTAGTGGCAAAAATTCGTGTTTAATAACATTTTCTGAATTTCCTACATACTTCTTTGGGCACACAATCAACTCCTCTACATGGCATAAAGGTTAGTCATCACCTGGCCTCAAAAAGTCCCATATTTTACCAATTCCCTTCACATAATTTATGTTTCAAATACAACAGAGCACAAACTCACTGTTTCTTGAAACACATCATTGTCTATTTTCTTACATGTTTGACTGGCCTAGACTTCTTCCTCTTTTTCTGAAACATTCCTCAATCATCTTCAAGACATAGGTCAAAATCTCCACATTTCAAGTCTTCCTTAACTTCTAGTCAAAAGGCCTATAATTCCAGTCTGCAAATTACATAATACTTTGTATGTTACTAACACCTACTCGCTTGTGGAAATGTGAATTTATAAAAAAAGTATGGAATATAAGATCATTAAAGGCAAAAATCACATTTTACTATTTTTTAAAATCTAAGGAGATAGCACAGTGCCTGGCATATAGTAGACAAGTAAAAGTCATAAATGAATAAAAGAGCATAAAAGGAGGAAATAAAGAGTAACAGGTACAATTATATCTTGACATTTAACTTAGGTCCCTCATATCCAATTTAATATTCATGTGTGGAAATCTTAGAATAATAATTTTATGAACTCTTCCAAATATATACTATCTCATTTGAAATAGAAATCTCTCTTCTACATAGATCAAAGAAAAAAATTCCTGCACTCATCTTAAGAATTTTTTTTTTT